AAGGCCTGACAGGACACAACAAAAGGAGAGATGGGGCATTATGTATATCACTCAGAACAAGCTAGAGGCAATGTGGCCATCAGAAAGAAGAGAAGTGGCAATGGCGTCACAATGGACATAAACATGGCAAAACCCATCCTGGCATCTTGTACATGTAAGGCCATGGAACAAAATTGACTGTACAACAATCCTTGTAAAGACTTACAGTGCACTTGTTCCACCTGTATGAGCCATCCACGTCCAGCTATAACTTTTTTTTGCCAGTGTTTTGGCTGTAGTCAGGAGGACCCTTCATCATGTGCTCTTCCTTTTAACACAGGCCCTGAAGCTGCGTGTCAAAAAGAGGATGCCCAGGCCATGCCTAAGAAGAAGTCAATTACCAAGGACATGCATGAGCATGCCACCAAACCCCTTCAAAACTGTCATCTTGAAATCTTTGATACTGTTGGTGACACTGGTACAAACATACTCCCATCCTTTGTGTTCCTTCCCAACTTAACCATCAAACTCCTCATGGACAGCCATGAGTTGATCTACTCAATCAACATGATTGCTAATCTCAGCCCAAAGTCTTCATTAAGCCCTATTTGGGCCTTGTGTGGACCACAATGCAGGCTATAAAATCTGACCTTTGGTGTACATGTGACATCAACCAAGCCAATATTAATGCAGAGGCCCAAGCACAAATGCAAGAAATGTGAGGCATTGGTTGTGGACAAACTCAAGGGCGAGGACATCTCTATTATAGAGACAGGTACAACAAGGTAAATTTCTCAGCTGTGCCGTTGTAGAGTTGACTTAGACGCTGGCATAGTAATCCCTTTATTTCCCAACATATCAATCCAGTTCTACGACAAACCATGCATCAATATGCAACAGTCCGCAGAGTCCATGTTTGCGGATACATAGAGTCTGCATTTGCGGATACATAGAGTCCGCATTTGCAGACATATAGGGTCCGCACTTTTTGGACTTTGGACCCGTCAGACAAGGAGCTAATTCAGCACTCCACGCACGTGCAAGACTCCACATGGACTCCAGAGCATTACAACTGTCCACAGATCAACTACCCCTTTCCTTTTATGGAATATAGGAGCTGTCCCTCGTGGTATGGAACAGTCTGGACGTCGGACTAGCAGGATATGACTCGCTTTTTCTTACATTTTCATATGGACACTTTCTAATGTTTATCCTTTGTTTCTCCTATTGGTTCTCATATGTTTTACACTATTTTTGCTATTTCCTTTTTGGTACTGCTATAAAACTGTACTTCCAAAAGGAAGGAAATCTATCTTTTGATCCCCCATATACTCAGAATTTGTCTGAATAAGTCGCCATAGTCACTTCAGAATTGTTGTAGACGTCCCACAGCCATATAACCAAAATTTCCAACAAAGCACCGAGCTTGTTGTGATGTTCTGTTCATATAGACCCAAAATGTGGACTCTCAGGAGTCATTGCAGTGTTGTATTCTCCACTCTATATTCATCCTCAGCTCATATTATCACTCCCACACTTGTATTATCGCCTTTCCAGCAAGATCACAACTTGCTGTGATGTATCCGCTCTGTTTAGACTCAAAAGTGCGGACTCTGCAAACTGACCTGCGGACCCACTCTATTGTAGTCTTCAGCACTTTCTTCTGAATCCCTTGGTTGATCCCTGCGGGTTGAACAACGCATAGGTGTTTGGACATAAGGACTCTACTCAGTTCTCTCCCAGACGCCTTTAGCAATCTTACCCCGTCTATTTTCTGTATTCTTGCTTAGCTGATGGCCTTTTCCCAGAGACAATGTCCTTGTATACAATGCAAGATAGAACTCTCATACTCAGCAAGGCCCTATCATTTCTGACATTGTCTGAAAGCCTCTCCAGTCATTTGTGGATTTCCAGACTTTGACATCACCCAAATGCAAGCGGGGGGCCACTCTCAGCCAAATGATTGAGTCATCTCAGCAGCCTCACATGTGCAAACACAATAATGTAAGCATTCTAATACTAGTGAACATAACACACACTAATCTTGATCTACAGAACCAGGAGAACATGGTCATTGGACCCTAGTTACCCTTGTCATCAATATCAGTGTCTTCATCCCCTACATCCTCACCATCACTTCCTAACTTGTTTATCTGCAGTACAGCAGTGTGCTCATCTTCCTCATCATCAGCATAATCTAGTATCAAATCTCCTTCAACAATAAAACAATTACCAAGGTTAGGCAAGTCTTGTAAAAACTCATGTTCTTCCTCAATTTCACTTTCAGCATCACTCTCGCTACTCCACTGCTCTTCTGTTGGTGCAGTTTGAGCCTCCATTCTATTGCTATCTCCACCATTGTGTACTTTCTGTATGCCAACCATCAAGCCACAAGACTTGGTTGTCTTGTCAATCCACTTTTTGACTCTCCCATGTGCTAGCTTTTTTATGCCTCTTTCAAAATTGCATACTTCACAATCCCCATAATCTCTTTGTTGCCAAAACAAGTGAAGCTCGGTTTCACAGTAGGTTTGAAGTAATGTTTCTATTTTGGGGTTATTATGAGGCTCAGGTTCTTTGTTTGTGCGGTGGGCAAGTCCCAAATTTGTCAGCATATCCTTCTTCATTTGAGCTAATTCATTAACATTTTGTGAAATGATGTTACACATGAGCTCACCATCCCACAGAATATCAATATGGACCAAGAATTCTTGAAGGAGGAGGTTGTAGTGCTCTTGCAATAAGTCACCGGGCACCACAAAAGGATCCCAGGCATTCCCTTCAAGTTAACCAGGCATTTTTCAAGATGGCATCTCATAGTTTAGGACTGCATTCATATTGGAGTGTGCATATCATCTCAAGAAGATATGTGAAGTACTTTGTGTGCAAGGAACCTGCAAAACTGAATACTATCACTTTCAAGTGCTTGTATACCCATTCAGTGTTGCCATCAGTGACAGCATAGGCAAATTCACGAGCTCCAAGGCTGTCTGACATGAACTGTATGGCTTGTGCCAGTGTGCGGTCCCCCTCAAAGGGCTGATTAGTCTCTTCTGTTTTTTCCTCTGGGCCAGCCCTTTTTTTCTGCTTGTTTTTTGTCTAACTGTTCCTTTTTTTGTTTGCAGCTTGCTTGCTCTGGCATGTGGCCAAAGTCACAGAAATATAAGGGTCTTGGGGGACCACAGTGATCCAAGATTCACCAACAATGGCTTGTTAGGTTGATGTGCTTGCAGTGCATTTTCATAGCTATTGATACTATTATATTTCAGGTGCAGGGTTACACCCACACTATGCAATGAATCAACACTTGGGAGTTCATTGCAGATTGCCATGGTTTTGAAATGGATAAACAGGTCTGGCTCTGAATTGTACCCTGTTATTAATGAGCCAACAACACAAACTCAATGTCACAATAACTCACCTCCAGCAATCAAGCATGCATGCATCCAGGACTACATTCACAAAGTGGAATGCAGGATAGTAGTCTACTTTTTTTAGATTTGTAAGAGGCTTGCACCCAATCTGATTGGCGTTATAGGAAAGTGTTGACAGATCATTTGCGAGTGCATCCCCCCAATGTGTTCCAAAGAAACAACTGAGGTTAGTCCATTCAGTATGCCACAGTTCAACTTGAAGGATTGGCTGGATTAGTTTGAAACTGTTGAACATGTTATTATGGAATTGTAGGTATTTTTTCATCTGTATTAACTTTTCAAACATCAACCCATCCCCTCCCACCAATATTAGGTGTGGATGGTAGCTTTGCAAGTCCTGGCCCATTTGTGAGAAAAAGTTGAGCGTGGCATCCTTTAGCTCAGTTGTCAGAATTTTGTTGAAACCATTGGTTGCAAGGGGATGAATTTTTGTTTTCTGAGGAGTATGTAAGTCTTCTTTTTAATTGACTGATGGTCAGGTGATAGGTGACTAGGGATTCTACAGCCAGTGTTGCATTTGGGATACTAATACAACAACTTGGTCAAAAGATGGTTTGGTGAGTTTTATAGCTGCTTATTTTGTTTTCTGACTTTAAGTAACACACTATATGACTGTAGAGCTTTATCTGACATATTTTGACTCGCCAAAAACACCTTTCCAAGACGAGTGGCCCAATGGTGATATAAACACTATTTCAGTGCTGGTGACACATATTTTAGTACCAATATATGATGATTCTGGTGAGTAGATTTCGCTGAAGCTTCATTATAAGTTAATGTTAACTGATATGTTATTTAGGAACTATCTGTGGTTATGTCCAACGTGAGCAACAGCCAACTGGACAGATGCGGCAACATCTGGCAAATAGTAATAGCCTTAACCCCACTATCCAGCTAATGACAGTGCCAGTAAAGCGCAAAAAGAATAATGGTGGTATCATATCACAGAAAACCACAGGTATGAGCACTCTGTTACGATAACACATTTTTGGACCTTTAACTTTCATATACATGGATGATATGCTTATATTCAGCAAGGGACCAGAAGAACACGTCCTACGGACAAAACGGGTATTGCAACGCCTGCACGATAATGACCTATACCTGAAACTAGAAAAATGCATGTTTGATGTAAATGAGATTGAATATCTCGGCATGATCATCTGTCACAACCAGGTAAAAATGGACCCCGTCAAGCTGGCAGGAATCAAAGACTGGCCTACCCCAACCAATATCCACGTAGTCTGAAATTCCTTGGCTTTGGTAACTTCTATCGCAAATTTATCAGCCGCTACTCAGAACTCGCAAGGCCACTCAATGTGCTATTACAGTAAAAAAGGATTTGGAACTGGACCACAACAGAAGAAAAGGCATTTACACTACTAAAATACTGTTTCAGCGTAGTGCCAGTCACCCAAATACCAGACCCAAACAAACCATCCCAAATTGCAGCAGATGCATCAAAACACGCAACTGGAGCGGTTTTGAACCAGCCCGATGACAATGGAGTTTGGCATCCATGTACCTTCTTCTCCAAAATGTTATCACCAGCCACATGCTAAACATCAGACTTTAAACTTTATTTACAACTGTACAGTACCTCATGTATTTTAGTATATATACAGGAGCAATACATGGGGAGGGACTCAGTGAGTCCTCCTGTTGTCTACCAACAACTAACTCGGTGTCGATGATGAGAACTGTTGTTAGAAAACCACACACAAAACAAACTAACACACAATCCTCCCAGATTCCACGGAACTTGTTTATGGGCTTTGCCTCCTAGAACAGTGGAGTGGTCTGGTTGTTCGTGGGGTGGTACGTATAAAGATCCTTCAAAGTAAAACCCAGTGGTGTATGAGTGTGGGTTTTGAGGAGGAGGGATAGTTGAATTTATAGAAAGATAGGGGCTTTGTGGCGAGTATAGACGAGCACTACCTTGCTAATCGTAGCACAAGGTAGGTTTGAGAACAACGAGGATGACGAGGTGACGAGGTTCCCAGTGATAGCAGGCTCCTGACGCACAAACTGTAGTGCTCAGAAGGACTCTAATCGAAGGGGATGACAATCACTTTCAAAAGTGACGAGTGACGATGACAGCAGTTAACAGTGGTAGAAGTGGGAAGTGTTGTGACCACACTGGATCACAAGTAGTAGAGTAGTGAACTTGAGAGTAGAGAAGAAGTCTGGATTGGATTTCTTGTTTTTTTTTTTACAAGGTAAAATACAGGGGTTTATATAGTAAAAGAAAAGTAGGCTATGCACAGTATAGCTGTGCAAAAAGAATGAGAAAGAACATGAAGGAAGGAATGTACGCTGACAAATCCTGCGTAGGTAGTACAGGATAAGATTGTCAAAAAAAGGAAAAGAAAGGGATAGAACAATAAATGCTGTGAGTAATGTCACAGGTTTGTACAACCATAAAGTAAAGTCCAATAGCAAAAGGAGAGCAGGAAAATCATGATGTCATGGGAAGATGCAGTAAAAAAAAGGGCAAGGCAAAACACTATCAGTATCAACACAGTTCCTTTATTGTCAGTCAGGCATTCTAAAAAAATATGTGTCCATAAAAATGATTCAAAAATCAAAAATAATCGCACTGTAAATGAATGTTCTGCTGAAGAAAAAGAAACTGGAGCCACCGGTCCACCACCTAGTCCAAATCTGATAGTTCCATGGCCTTACCAATGGACTGGTTGTGTTGGACCACCTGATCAAACGAGGGAGGGAGAGGAGTAGTTCCAATTTGGAACAAGTGAGTCCCAGGCAGCGTTTGGTAGGTGTAGCTGTAGCGAAGACAATGGACAAATGATAAGTGTACCCAAGTGAATGGGACAGCAATAAACATGGGCAACGCAAGGGGATGAACCTTCTCCAGCTCAAAAACTACCCACCCACGCTCCAACCAGGCAAGACGAGCGACCAATGTTTTGATAGTATATGATGGCAGATCGACGTCATGAAGATGGACCTGTTGCCCTATTTGGACCAGCCGCCAGGGCTTTGCTGATATCAGCAGTGGCACGTGGTAGTCTACGGATCGGCGACGGAAGCGGATAGGAAGTGGTGACATCAGAAATGGTGGGGGAGCAAAGAAGATGAGGAGGAGGAGGGTGGAGGTGACGAGGAGGTGAACTAAAATGGGGACCCAGAAACGACCGTCGGGTGAGAATAAAAAGGAGAGGAAGGGGCCCATGGTGGGGCTAGGCAAAGGAAGGGGAGTAAGGGAAACGACAAAAGCGAGGGCGCAATGCAATGTGTAGCCAGTGGCAACACAAAAATTTGCCGAAATGCCGAAACGCGGAAAGTACCGGATGGAAAAGCAAAGGTGAGCGTGACTGGATTGCCTAATAGAGGTGGTGCTGATCAGCCACAAGTTCGAAACAGGCAATATTAATTACTATTCCACGTGGCACTGTGCCTGTGTGGCGCAAAGGCGAGTCTTTTTGTAGCTAAAATAAGGAAAAAGGCAGTGCAGCGCGAGAAGGTGGAGTTTGAACAAAATGGAAAGTGCCGCATGGCACAGTGTGTGAAAACTACAGAAGAAAGTTAAAGAGGAGAATGAAATTTAAAGGTCCAAAAATTGTGTATTGTAACAGCTGCTCTGCTCAAAATGTGGCTTGAGCACCCTGATAAACGGCCTACCACATCTGACCAAAAAAAGCTGATATACTTGCTTTGCACCTCCTATACTGAGGTTTGGCCTGCATGGCTTGCCCTTACTTCCTTTTCCGTACAGATAGTAGCAAAGTATTTGCTCCATGAACAAAAGAAGGCTCTTCATCCAAGTAATGGCCTTGCTTTGCCAAAGCAAAAGGAGATTAGCTGGCCACTACTAGGTGATACAACGTCTACGTTGTACTGTGTGTCCTTGCCTAGATTGTTATGCATATCGTCTAATCCCCAACTGTCTGTGGTGAAGGGGTACTTCCGTTGTTGGTTACATTTGTTAGCGCGGTGTCCGGGGGCGTCCAATCCGCATATAGAACAAGTATGATAACGATAATAGATGGCACGATGGCCATATTCTTGACAGGCATAACATCATCAAATACGAGGGCAATGTCATCGTTCAGAAGAGGATTGTGAATGAGTAGAATTAGAATAGTCTGAGATTGGCGAGGGCCTTTTGCTTCTATTGCCTGAGGATGGGGCGTCACCTTCACTGTCCCTCAACAACCTTCCATCCAGAGATGAGCCGTTGCTCAATATGGGGGTCTGTCTCTGATTTGTGCGCTGCACACGGGGAGTGCAACCCAAAGGGATAAGGAGTACCAGCTCTGGGCGCTGGTGGCATAGTCGGCAGTTGCGACGGGGTTGAGGGAGTTGGGGGAGGGGTGTCACTGGTTGCGTAGGGATCAATATGTCCTGCAATTCTTTGACTGCATTGGCTGCGGGGACTATTGAGTCGGTTATGGAGGAACGTGCTGGGGATGGTGGAGCGGGCACGGGTAGAACAAGATCTGGTGATGATGGGCAAGATGCTGGTGGAGGCGGCGGTGGCAAGTGTGGGGGGTGGCGCCCTGGAAATGTGTGTCCCGTTATGGCTGGTAGGGACAACAAATCGGAGGGAGGGGAGGTGAGATACCCTCATTGGGCGAGGATATTCCTCGCATTGTTGCATACTGTCTGGCCTCCTAAACATAGGAAGACTTTGACCGCTTCTCTCTCTCCATTCTCGCAGTTCTTGTTACGCTTGAAATGTGCAAGCCTGGTAACACTGGGTTTCAGATATACAAGTAGTTTCTGATAAGCTCGTTGAGAATTAGTTTGAGACATATTCTGATGATGAGGGTTTTGACTGATGAATACCAAGTTACACTGTTGAAGCGTACAATCATATTGGAGATAGTAACTACAATACAGGCCTATATATATAGTGTCTACTTTAGGGTAGATGTTTGTGTTGAGCAAACAAAGACGGGTGGTACCGTAACAGGCAATGTATGTGGGAAGTATAGGTAGGTAGCGGAGTGTAGCTACTTGTAAGAAAAATAAAAGTTCATGGTGAATACAGTTTGTAACAGTTCTTCCTCAAGCATTGTTCCAGGGATTCTATCTGCAAGTGTTCCATGAGCAAAGTTGCTCCAATACTCAATACAGAATTGTTGTCCCACGTAAGCTCTTCTACTAATGAAGCTAGTGAGACAGTGACTGCATGTAGTTCGTCAGCAACAAGGAGCGATTGTTGCCAGAAATGGAATGTATCCAAAGGGTAGGTGGTGTTAGGGCAGGTGGTGTTAGACTGATAGAATTGATAAAAGTAAGCGCGCCTATCTGACATCAATTCAGTGGCATCTACAATGTTGGTTTGTTCACGAGTGAGGACAAGGCAGTGCGCCTATTGTGCTTCAGTGATCACTGGTGGTTTGGCGAGGTACGAGGGAAATTGAGGGGGAAGGGTTTGTTGGTCGGTGAAGTAGGTCTGAGACATAGTTGTTCTGGTGGAAGTGTGTATGGTGGGAATTTGTTGCATTCATTACAGTTTGTGTCTCTTTTTATATTCATTCAGGGTTTCAGAAGCATTCTGTAGGTTTGCTTCTTCTTCCCAGGAGTTTTTGGCCGATGGGTAGTCGTTCCATTTGATTAAATATAGGTATCCTTTTCTGTTCTTTTTGTGGCATAGAATGGCTTCTACTTTGTATTCTTCTTGATCATTGATTATCTCCGCCAGCAGTTTTATATAGTTTTCTCCGTGGACTTTGGTTTGTTTGTACGGGGTTAGAAGGGTGGCGTGGAACACGGGATGGATTTTCCATGTGTTAGGAAGCTTTAGTTGGTAGTTAACTGGCAATAAATTCTCAAGGATGGTGAGGGGTCCTTCTTGTTTCCAGTTGAACTTCCGGTAAGGTGTACCCTTCTTCTATAAGTTAGTTGCTTCTAGCCAAACTCTCTGTCCAACAATAAATGTGGGTGTTGTGAGTATTTTTTCATGCGTGTCCTTGCTAGTTCGTGGGCTTGTAATGCTACAATCCTTGCTTCAAGTAGGCTGGATAGTCTTTTGCTTACTGCTGGTATGTTGGTCGTTATGGCGTTGTGGGGAGATCCCTGGGGTGATATCCCATCATGAGGTAGAATGGTGATTTGTTTTGTGCCAAATGTGGTCTATGATTGTGGCAGAATTCTGTTGTCATGAGATATTCTGTCCAAGAATGTGGTAAGTTGCTGTTAGAATATACTCTTCTACTAATAAAGCTAGTCAGACGGTGACTGCATGTAGTTCGTTGGCAACAATGAGTGATTGTTGCCAGCAATGGAATGTATCCAAAGGGTAGGTGGTGTTAGGGCAGGTGGTGTTAGACTGATAGAATAGATAAAAGTAAGCGCGCCTATCTGACATCAATTCAGTGGCGTCTACAATGTTGGTTTGTTCACAAGCGTGTGGTAAGTTGTTGCAGAAGATCCGCAAATATGTTTCTATCTCCTGGTTTACCCTTTTGGTTTCTCCATCTGATTGGGGGTGATATGTGGTCAATATATTTACTTCCGTGTTGAGTAGCCTAGCTAGTTCTTTGGTAACTTCTGATGCAAACTGCGGTCCTCTATCGGATATGAGTTTGTTGTGTAGTCCAAATCTTTTAAACACGTGTTGGTGGAATAATTTTGCCGTTCCTAGTGCATCAATGGTTTTCTTGCAAGGTGATAGTATTGCCCCCTTTGTAAGGCCGTGGTCCACCACGACCATGAGACTGTCATATCTGTTGCTTTCTGGTATAGATCTGTGATGAAATCAACGGATAGGTTCTTGAATGGTTCCAAGGTTTTTGGGCCTGGAATTGGCTGCATGGGTATTTTGGCGGGGTTGGTGATTGCCTTGCTTTGTTGGCACATGGCGCATCCTGTGACATAATCTTTGATCATCTGCATCATACACGGCCAGTAGTAATGTCTTGTTACTAATTGGGTTATTTTTAGTTGTTCTGGGTGTCTGGCAGTTACCAAATTGTGACAACACCAACAAGACACAGTCTTGGGGCACTGGAGCACAACTACAACAAGCAGAAGAAGAGGAAAAGGTGGGAGTGGTTACCCATTTGGTAGGACCAAGTTAGTTGTTGGTAGACAACAGGAGGACTCGCTGAGTCCCTCCCCATGTATTGCTCCTGTATATATACTAAAATACATGAGGTACTGTACAGTTGTAAATAAAGTTTAAAGTCTAATGTTTAGCATGTGACTAGTCACATGATGAGCCTAGACACTGGTCAGGTGGTGTGTCACATGACTGATCATGTGACATGGAGAATGAAAAGTAAAAGTACAAAAAGTGAAGTGCAAGTAGGTGCTAGTATGTGAAATTGTAACACAAATCATGTTGTTGTTTCCCACAGCACCATCACAGCCGTGCATGGCCATCTCAATTGACTTATTGGCATTCTATTGGGCCCTCTTTGAGTGTTTGTGTGACACCATCAATGCTCTTGCCGCTGCTTTGAATACTCATTACATACACAGAGGCTTCAGAATGACCAGCACAGAGGTATGTACACTATGCAATGCTGCCTATAAAAATGCTAGAACCATTGTTTTGCAGGGCAAAGCCATTCTGAAGCCATTCAACATTCTACAAGTCAAAGTCGAACATCAAGTGGAGGCTATGGTTCAGCACTGTTGAGACCTTGTGTTAGCTGCTCAAGAGCCTTAGTGTTGATGATGAGAACTGTTGTTAGAAAACCACACACAAAAACAAACTAACACACAATCCTCCCAGATTCCATGGAACTTGTTTATGGGCTTTGCCTCCTAGAACAGTGGGTGCTCTGGTTGTTCGTGGGGTGGTACATATAACAATCCTTCAAAGTAAAACCCAGAGATGTATGGGTGTGGGTTTTGAGGAGGAGCGATAGTTGAATTGATAGAAGATAGGGGCTTTGTGGCGAGTATAGATGAGCATTACCTTGCTAATTATAGCACAAGGTAGGTTTGAGAATGGCGAGGCGACGAGGTTCCCAGTGATAGCAGGCTCCTGATGCACAGACTGTAGTGCTCAGAAGGACTCTAATTGAAAGGGATGACAATCACTTTAAAAGTGACGAGTGACGATGACAGCAGTTAACAGTGGTAGCAGTGGGAAGTGTTGTGACCACACTGGATCACAAGTATCAATGAGTAGTGAACTTGAGATTAGAGAAGAAGTCTGGATTGGATTTCTTGTTGTTTTTACAAGGTAAAATACAGGGGTATATATAGTAAAAGAAAAGTAGGCTATGCACAGTATAGCTGTGCAAAAAGAATGAGAAAAAACATGAAGGAAGGAATGTACGCTGACAAATTGTGTGTAGGTAGTACAGGATAAGATTTTCAAAAAAAGGAAAAGAAAGCAAAGGTGAGTGCGACTGGATTGCCTAATAGAGGTGGTGCTGATCAGCCACAAGTTCAAAAAAGGCAATATTAATTACTATTCCATGTGGCACTGTGCCTGTGTGGCGCAAAGGCGAGTCTTTTTGAATATTCACTTTGTTATTGACACCTGTCCATGCTACCAATCAACTTTTGTGCATGACAACGTTGACTGGAAGAATGCACTAGCAAACTACTTCTTTGCATATCCCAAAATTTTCCAAACAGACTCCTCCAAAATCCTCTTTGCGTTATCTCAAATCTCATCCAATAAAGTCAATGATGCCTGTCACACTTGGAAGGCAAATTTCAACAACAAAACTGCGGTGCTAGGAGACTTATTTGCACCATGGAATTGGGGCACTATCTCAGAGTTTGTCAAGGAATTAGATAAGGAATTCCTGGACCCCCATCTCAAGTTGAAGGCGGAAATAGCTCTTCATAGCTACAAGCAAAGAGAAATGACAGTTGATGCCTACTTTGGAGGACTCGAGTCCAAACTTATGGAAGCGGGATTACCACCAGATGCACATGAAAGTTATCCGTTTATTCACAGTATCCTTCGCAATTGTATTTTGTAACAGGAGAACCTACCCACCACATACACAGAATGGAAAATAGCAGCCAGGAAGTGGGAGCAGCAAAACAAAGAACTCAACTTGGAAAGGAGGAGAGACAGACCCCCACAGCAGAGAATGTTGCCATCTCAGTACCAATGGTATCAACCACAATATCAGCAGAATCAAAGCTATCTGCCGCCGCAACAGAATCAACAAGCAGTACCACGTATAGAGACGGGAAGACCACAATATATTCAACAACAATCATATTATACTCCACCTCAGAGGACGCCACCCCAGAATGCAGTCCATCCCAATGCAGCAGGAACATTTGGAGGATCAGGTGTGCCTATGAAGATTGGGAGTTCAAACACGCAGAGACAATGTCAGTCCAACCCGAACATTATTTGTTACAATTGTGGTGCGCAAGGCCACATTTCTAGGAATTGTCGGTGGCAATATGTTATATGGAAACAGAGGAAACCAAAGACACTCCCACTACGTCATGATTGAAAGAGACTGAAGCACCTCCAAAGGATTTTCAGAACGGTCAGGAGTAAGCATGGACTCTCTGACCCGTAATGATGTATCTAACTCTTGTACACTACTAACGACTGCAATAAAACAAGTTGATTAACATCTATGTGCTGTAACCAAAAACTATGCAAAGCCACATTCACCAGAATGGTTGGCCAGACGAATCAAAGACCAGAAACCGGAAAGA